ATTTGTTGCACTTCGGGACCACTTTTGATGTATGGCCCATAAGATGCTAAACACACCAGTCGGAGATGCGCTGCAGGCGCCATAGTACTGCTCCTAAAAGTAGCTGTCACGTGCTTTGCTCCGCGACTGTGATTCCCTCACAGCAGCTCTGACTGAGGGTTGCCAGATTACGGTGAAACGGAGTATAGACAAAACAGACCGGAAACGAGCTGCCAGTACACGTTAGTCAAACTTCCAACAAAAAGGATTAGTTTCTTCCCAAGCTGGACGACATTTACCGGGCATCTTCAGAGCTGCCAAGCTCAAAATCACGCGTACTCATAAAAATTTTTTTTTCTCGCGTGTTTGTGATTTTTATGATGTCTTGCAAGTAAGAAAAAAATATATATGGTGAAGTCACTCCGAGGGGGTACCAATAACTGCGAGCCACGAACATGAAGGATTCGCTAACATCCGTCAGGAGTGTGAACGGTAAATCGTCACGCAAACATATTCTCACAAGCTGCAAATATTTATTTGGCATAGCAAGTAGAATATACTAACGACATGTGATTATTGTATACAAGATACCATTTCTCGGTTCTTCAAAACCATTTCCCTAGTCTGAACGGTCGCGCTACGGGCCGCGGCTAGCCGTGCCCTCGATAGACTACGGAGCTGCGTTGTGTCGTCTGCTACTGTACCGCCAACAGGAGAGCGATAGCTCTGTGTGCTCCACAGATGCGTGTTGCGGTATAACTCTGTACGTCTGTCCTAGAGGAAGACAAAAAGATAGGCTCTGTGACCCCCTCCTAAGCTAACAAAAACAAACAGAAGTATACTCGTTTGGACTGAAAGGTTTACAAAATAGTGACCAGACATTGGAAAAGCATATGTCACAGAACTTGGTTTATGAAATGGCATCATTGTTTCGAGCAAGAAATCACCTGCTCACCACTGGGACGATGAAATCGTCACTATTTATTGTGTCAGGTATATTTGCGCTCATGAAGAAAAATCTGAACACATCCTTCTCCCAAAGTCCTATGTCGAATAATAAACACTTTTTTAAACATCTATGCACAAATAACTCATTTTTTTCTACACTTGTATATACACGTTAATTAAACGACGTCAAACCACATTTTTGATTAGATCTTGATGTCTACACCAACTACATTCATATTTTTTAGGGCTTTATTGAACGATAACTTCGACTATAGTTAATGGAACACGATGGCTCGATCTCAACAAAAACCTCAACGTGCGAAGCTTCCACAGACGGTCGCTTGCGAGTATTCTCAATGCGAGACTTCAGAAGCTTTCGCTCGCCATAGGGAGCTTGCTTTCGACTACAGCACTGCACGGGCCCGGAAAGCGCGCTGCTGTGGGGAGCGCACTGCTGTGGGGAGAGGTTGACTTACAAGATGACGTGTTACGTCGTCACGTAAGATGGCGTCATTTCGTGCAGCGTGATCACGTAAGATGACGTCATTTTGTGTAACGAGATCATGTAAGATGACGTGTTTGTGTCACGTGATCACGTAAGATGACGTCAGTTCGTATGAACTGACGTCATCTTACGACAACGCCAACAACATTAGTGCCGTCCGGAACCATTGACCTTAGAAACGCGCCTCTTCGCTTGAAGAGCTGATATGCGTTGATTGTTTTTTGTTTCTTTTGCCTACTACAGACCATTCAAAAACTCGCCTTCTGGGTGCCACCAACTTCGTCTACTGGGCTGTGAAGCGCGTTCGAGCGTGCGCAATACCTCTCTAGGCCGAAAGATTGTACACTGAGTATGCGTTCACAGCTCAATGACTTAGGCATTTTTCGTCAAGATAGATGCTCCCACGAGAAGAGCGTAATGGATATGTGAATAGAATTGGAAATTTGAAATGTTCTTGTCCAATCGCATTTTTCTTTGGTTATCAACGCTTTTTAGCGTCATCACAAGACGTTCAACCCATAATACACTGGTGATTAAAAAATAAGCACCGAAAAACATGCACCGATTTTCGCTCAAAAATAAACACCGGAAAAAACATATTGTAATCATTACCCATGTCACCTTTTTGGGTGATATGTGAATTTCCAGAAGAACAGCGAGTTATCACCCTCCCTTAGGAATACCCTGACTACAGAGCAGGCGACCCGTTTTTCCCCGCGTTAGATTGCGGTGACCACGAACTGTACGGAGGTCACAGGACGTCCGTGAAAAATAAAAAGGTGGCAAACAACGATCTACTCTGTGCACGCTTCATCCCCGATTTCCACGACCCCAAGTCCGAAGGACGTTTGTGTGAAGGATAACAATAAAATAAAACTTTGCGTCAAAAAAAAAAAAAAAGCCCGTTTTTAAAAGAAAGAAAAAAAGTAGAAACAAGCACAACGCGTTGACGTACCGCGAGGTTGTGGAACACCTCGCGGTCCGCTTGCCACAGGACGGTTGTCTTCGACCCATAGCTCCAAGGTGAATTTGCCACTTGCGAAAACACGGAGACCTACCCAGCGAGAACCAGGAAAGCAAGACACGCACACTGACGCCTCGGCGTGCAGAATGAAACAGGATACGGGCGCGGAATACGGCCGCGGAAGAACACCTCGCACAGTGCCGATCCGGCCGATCTCCGAACGGGCGATTTCGCATTTCGTGGACAGCGAGCGCCACCGCACGGGAGAGAGAGGTACCTTAAAAACGACGAAAACAAGCACCGACACCTTGGTTCTTTATATTTGCTGTAGTTACGGAACAAATCGACTTGCATGAATAATTTGAATATTATTCGATTCCGTAATAAATTTAGAAGACATTAAGCGCAATACTTCTTATGTTTGAATTTAGATAATTTTGTAAATTCGCTCCGAACGCAAGAGTGCCGAATTAGCCGATTTTGACCATTTTCATGATTTTTTTTAAAGAATATAATTAAATTTATGATGAAACATTTGTTGCTCTTAGTGTCTCGATAATGACTCAATGTCTTTAAAGCCGAAATTTTCAAGAAGATCCGCGCAGCCGTTATTATGTGAGAATTTTTTTAATTTGGTGAAAAACCTCATGTATTCTCTATGGGGCTCTGAGGTGCAATTTCTCTTAAGGGGCAATTTCCAAAGGGCACAATGAGGCCAAACTTTCGGGGACATAAACTGAAGGTTCATGTCCTCAAAGGCTAACCAGCACCTACAGAGAATGCAGATCTCGATTACAAAGGTACCTTAGAAGAACTAGGCTGACAGTCAAACCAGAACCAAAATCTGTAAACACACAAAAAAAAGATTTAGTCTGACGAATGTTTACACAAACTGTTTTCTGTGAACAGACCCGTCGAACACCATGTGCATATGGCTCCACGACCAGCTTTTTTATGCAATATCAAGGCACACAATCCTCCTGTTTAAAGTACCTGCTGCACACAACTGTAGATGGGGATTTATTGTTCGCAACAAGGCTCTTCCTTGGTATCCTCTTTTTCCACGGAGGGCCTGGCAATTCATCGCTGGGCAGCTGGTTGAAAGACACGACACGTGTCTTCCCCGATGTCGACTTGCAATTCAAGACACACAAGTGAACCAGAAACAGAGCCCGTTGGGCAACGGTGTGAAACAGCGAGAAATTTGGGTAGCAGTGCCCCCACGTAGAATGATGCACATTCTTTTTCCCGCGACAAAAACAAGCCGTAAGAAAAAGAAGCACACAGATCCAGTTTGGTTGTGGAAGGGCAGCCCAACATGCCAATCACTTAATCAAGGTCAGTGGATGTGCTGCCTAGGGCCCCTGATACTTCTTTATAGCCTGTCCACTTGGTGGCGCTCACTACGCCATGAGCCCGCCCTATGGACAGAAGCAGTGGAACTGGTTGAACGTTGAATGTACATTGCCTGCGGCAGAATGTGATTATATTGTGGTCTTTATGGCATATCTAAAGTTTGTGCGAAAGTCTGCAAAAAAAGAGTCGTTCGCAAACTACCATTCTCTGTCGCTCGGGAAGGCGTTGCCACTGGTGGCGCTAGAAACTGCATTCGGCTAAAGCCCCTTTATGTTTCAAAAGTAGCGCAACGTGCGTCAATGCACAAGGCACGTGCAACGTGCAGCCCTTGGGAAGGTCATGGCGGCATTGAGCTAGATTTCAGATGCCATGCTCTCCCCAGAAGTGGCGTGCGGCTTTGTGTCTCTAGCATTTCCACAACAATGACTGGCACCACTTTTCCCAGGATAGAGGGGCTTTACATTCAGCTACACCTGCTCGCTTGCAGACGACAGAGAAGAACAATTTCCGAACGCTGCTTTTCCGTGGAGCTTGACCAATTGCTGGGTCTAATAATCTTGGAACATGTCTCCGCCCGTTGGAACACATTTGTATAGTGCTTTTGCATCAGTTTTCCTTGCTTTTTATGCCTCATACTACCGATAGTAAAGCAGGAACCGTGAAAAGGACAAAATACACTCAAAGATAGGTGCTGACAACTTTGTTAGTGTGGGCCCATGCCCTCCAAAACTGGCAACAGGGGAAAGAAATGGTTAGTGGAGAGTGTGTACGCATGCACAGAGGCTTACTGGAAAAGGTACAATCCCAGTTTGGACGCTTTTCAGTATCAAGTTGCGTGGGCGTGGCACGAGCCAGCAGGAACATTTTTTCGAGTTACGAGGCCACGTCGCAATAACTCTATTGAGCTCACAAAGCATTCCTTTCGTGCCTGTTGCATACCTGCCAAGTTTCCCGTATTACCTAGGAAACTCCCAAATTTTGATCAGCTTATATGGTTCTACGATGGACAGAAAATTCTCCCTATAAACACAAATTATACCCCTCCTCCCTCCCGCACTTCAAAAGTTTTTGCCGTCGCAAGAGACTGCTGCATTGACAGCGAAGCCCAGCTGCATCTTTCTAGCATGAGCGCTGCAATATAAGTGTAATGCAGTTGTCTTCATGCAAATTTGTTGTAAATATTTCTTTTGAAAACGCCGCTACCTCCTCTGCTTTGAAACTAATTTCCTCGTGTATCTCTCTTCTCAGCCCGGCTAACACGGCAGCCAAGAACTGGGCAAGACTTCTCGAGCATGCAACCCACCTCGATCATCTGTTTCCAGGAATCCCAAGAGCAGAAGAGATTTACTCGGAGCTCAAGGTCATCAGCGTCACGTTCAGGGACGACTTCTTTGCAGTCTGCATGGAGACAAGCACGCAGCCCTGTCATCTAGTAGACAGGTTCGACTTTTGGAATCTGTTCTTGGGAGAGATCAACATGGAGCTCTCGGAAGAGGAACCAGGAAGAATTGGCCTACATTATGCGCCTGTGCAAAAAAACACCCAAGGGAAAAGGGTGCCCTATTTCTTGCTGCACTGGCTTCTCAAGCACCACTGTTGCATAAAGACCCTCAATATTTACGAGTCGTCTCTTGAGTACCTGCAACTTGTTTGTGATGCTCTGCACCTCAGCTGTGGTCTGGAAGAATTGGTGTTGGGATACAGTCTAGACGAGCAAGCACTTGGAATTGTGTTGTCTGAAGTTGGTACTATGCCGAGAACTCTCGTAAGGCTAAAAGTGTTTGCCTACAAGGTTCCAGCGTATGCACTGTACTCACTGGGAACAGCCCTCCAGAGAGTGTTGGGACTGGCTTCAATAGATTTGTCTTGCATGTCTATGGATGCTTGTGATGCTAACTTGCTGCTAAGTGACATGTCAGCTTGCCCCAGCCTTGCAGAACTTTCTATTAAGGACTACTTCCTTTTTCCTAGAGGAGGTGCAGCCCTGGCAGAGTTTGTTGCAGGAAGCACTGCTTTGAGGAAGCTCTGTTTGTCGGGAGCTATGTACTTCGAGATGAAGCGACTCGAGAGGTTTTTCAAGGGACTAGCCTCCAATCGCAGCCTCGAAGAACTGCATCTGTGCAGCTTTAATCTGGAGAAGCCTGCAATGGACTTGCTCGTTGAAGCAGTGGTGCACATTAGCACCCTGAAGATCCTGGATATTGACTGTTTTGATGAAGAAGTAGATGGCGATGGCCTTGCCGAGTTGGTGGCACGCAACACTGGCCTTCGTGAGCTTGTATTTGGTGGCTGTGAAGCTAAGTGTGTTGCCACATTTTCTAGGGCCATTCGTAAGAATACCCAACTGCAGAAGCTGCAGCTCACCTTGTATGACATGGAGATGCAAAACTACAGAGAATTGCTGACAGCTCTTTCATGTAACCAATCGCTTCAGAAGCTTGTCTTGGACAACGTCCTCAAAAATGTTGTGGTAGACCTCTGCCAACTGGTTTCGGAGACGAGGACTGAGGGCAGAGTTAAGTTTCCGGTTGGCTTTGAAGATGCCCTGGAGTTTACCTGCACCATAAAGAAGTGCTCCAGGCTAACGCAATTGGCATACCAACCTAAGCCTGACAGCCTTCCCTTGCCTCGTGATGCTTTCAGCGGGCTCATCGACTGCCATCAACTGAAGTCGCTAACCATTTCCGAGTGCCACAAACCAATTGAAAGTGAGTGCTTTAATGACCTAGCTCGCTTTTTGTCATGGACCACAACACTAAAAAAAGCATATCTTAGCTTTCGTACAACAGCAGAATCCACCAAAGCCCTCTTGGACGCAATCCTACAGAACCGGAGCCTCTCGAAGTTGCTCATCCGCAACTGGACTGTTGAATCAAGTGATCTACAATTGCTCTGTGACATCATACGGACTAAGAAGAATTTGAGCGAACTGCGTTTGCAACTGCTGAACTGCAAGGAACGCATGGCAGTCTTCTTGCTGGCGGAGCATTTATGGAGCAACCTAAACTTGCTCAAGGTGACGGTTAATGTGGACCCCCTCTATGACAACCTCTCAGTTCAGCTGCGGATACGCACAGCCACCCAGCGTAACTTGTCGATGCTGCGCTGTGCAGTGCAGTTTGTGATGGGGTCCCATGGCAGACGGTATGCAGACGCGTTTGAGAAGGTCTTCAACCTGCCATCCCTGGTAGAAACTGTTCAGGAGTCTGCAAACGAACCAGAAGAAGAGGCTAAGGAGATGGTGAGGAGTAGCAAGCGCTACCTCGACCGCAAGTTCTTGACTGTCGTCGGTGTTGTCAGGGATGCTGTGGTGTGTGAGCCCAATGGCCAGGTGCAGCTGGATGGCATCGGCTTGGACAACTGGCTTCGGATTCGGCAATACCTCAGGGTAGCAGACATCACGCCAGAGCCTGTCGTAGGGCTCCATTAACCAAGTTCTCTGTGGAAGGGAAGTTGCCCCAATTGACTGTCTAGCCTCTGGTGCATAAAGAACATGGCCCCTTAGCTTCAGCCGAGCATGCAGGATGCGACCACATGATGTGACGTCAATTGTCCCTCGTGTCGCCATGCAGAAGAAGAATGCACACCAAAGTTAGTAGACTAGAAAGTCTGTCGAGTATTTTTAACATTCTGTATTTCAAGTTCTGTATTTTGATAAACATTTTAGTGGAGGGTAGGAGCAGCATTTTATTGTTTAGACAAAGAGGTTAAAAGTGGCTCTCACTCAGAAAATACTACATATTTTCTTAAGGTAAAATAAAGGCCTTGGAATGGCCTGCAGAAATGATTTACACTACCAGAAGCAGGTATTCTTCATCCAATGTAGATGATTTTTTTCCAGTTGCTTTGACTGGAGTCGTGTGGCCGCTGAAAGTGTTTCGCAGAACAGGGGCAAACCTACCCCCTACAATAGTGCCTTCCAGTGATGCAGATTTCTATGTGAATAATAAAACAAGCTCGGAAGAGAAAAAAAAATATATATATATTTTTTTCATTTATTTTGATGACGATGGAGAAGATTCATGTGCACAGTTTTGTACAAAAGACAGTCCTGATGAAAAGCCAGAAAAAATTCGAGCCCACTGCCAACAATGCTGTGAGCCATTAAAAAGGATACTCAAAGATGAGCAACTGCTAAAACCTGGAAAATGACACACACTGTGACAGTCAAACTTGCATTCACAACCACATTCACAACCTCGTAGATAAGAGAAAACACCAGAAAGGCGCAAAGCAAACAAGTCCTTGGAGGCTAAATGCATGCACAGTTCATTTGCTAACTTGATGAGGTCATTACAAGAAATGCTGATGACTAACTTAAGTAAATACCTAATATGCGATGACTAAACAAAATGAGAGAAGCTATGAAATCCCTTCATTATGCCAGTAACTGGCATAATGAAGCAACTTACATACAGATAGACGTCCAATCAGATTTCTTTCACATAACTTGATGAGATCGTTCCAAGAAAAGCTACTAAGTAGGTAATAAGCAGTATGAGCAAGGCAATAGAAAGTATGTCTAGGTTTAAAGTATGCTACGGTTGACTTGAGATTGTATGCATTGCAGAAAAAGCAAGCAGTTCAGCATTGCTGTGGCTCAAAGCTGTTAATGATTTAGTTTGAGTGGCACTTGGTGTATGGAACCATAGAGTTCAATGCTACATTGAAAGCAAAACTTCTGCATTCTTGCCATGCATTTTGTAAGCGTGAAGAAGCAGCACTTGGAGGTCACCATTAGTGGTCCCACGTTGGCAATGCATTCACAACCACACAAAGAACTTGTAAAATGCCGCCTAGTAGTACCAGGTTTCCCAGACATTTCATTATGTTAGATGGATGGGCAGGATGCATTTCATTAACAAGATTTAAAAATGTAAAAGTTACTAACATAGAATTGGATTTTGGTGAGGCAACACATGCAAGCAAGGCTGGAAGTGCGAGAATGCAGATAGTGAAACAAAAACTGCGGGCGTGCTTTTGCACTGCCAGCCTTGCTTCTGTTGCACAAGCAGTAACTTAAGACGCTTCACGGTTCTTCCCACGCACTGTCTTTCTTAGCTGACTGATTTTTGATGACGCTCGGCAAGTTTTTGATTGAATCATTTGTTTATTTTCACTAAAGAAAAAGTGAAGTCACAAATCATGTCACCCTGGCCGTATAACTTGCCTGCACATACTGAACTAATGCAGCTTACACAACACTTTTAAAAACTGTAATGCCTAAGAAAACCAGCAGAGCTAGCTACCTGTGACGTAGCAACAACCAATGGCATTCGTCGCAAGTTGCGGTATATAAACGACTCTGCCGGGATTCCCCGACGCAAAAACAATCCATGTACGACGACTCTACCATGTATGACCAGAGTAATGTCGCAAATTTCTTTCTCGGCCTTGGATTCAGACGCTGGTAATTCTTGGTCCTTTATCATCTGAAAAGATTGCTTCCCTAACATTGAGGACCGCTTTGGCCTTGCAATTGCAGAGAGGAATGCAAGTTTATAGATTTAGGTCAAATCTTGTCCTTTCCCCTCGCAGCGATCTCTTTCTGCTCTAGAAACCGAAGAAGCTCTGGCAAAGGTAAAGATTCCTGCTGATGAGGCTCCAAGAAGCCTCAATAGATCCTCTTCGAAATTCAGCGCCATCCGGTGGCTTCGATAACCTCTGCCGTACTGATGGCGGTCGTGAAAACATATTTAATTAAAAACCGTGAGTTTTTCACGTCAAGAATTCTTGCTTTGTTTTGCTTTCAATGGTGTGAGCGAAAGGACAAAGTGCCAACCCATAAATGCCTCGATGAAGTTGCCGACATCAAGGGAGTCCAAAGCCAGCTTTGGACCACGACATGGATCGGACACCAGTCCAAAATAAACGCAGACGCAGAGCTTGTATCTATTTTGTGCGTCGCATTGTACCGGCACCTCAAATGTACAGGCCTCGTATCCCTCACTTAGGAGCTATCTTCGACCTATCGCCGGTTAGCAGAAGGCTGCCATTAGTACGGCATACGTGCCATGCTCTGCCAGGCTAAAATTCAATCTACTGTTGGAAGAGACGACGAGTATGTTCTGCGTAGGAAAGAGTTAGTTTTGTGAAATCCAAGTGCATTGAGCATGTGAGCGTCTGAGGGCATTGCATCAAAAAGCGCGTCTATTTTCGTACCACAAAGCTACATTTCATACTTGGGTAGAGAACTTGCTGAAATACAGTCCTGGACTTTCATACCTAGGAGAAGCATAATGCAGCATGCAATGCCTTCAAGTTCTGGCACCGTAGCTTATGGACTAGTACATGCGGGAATGGCAGGGTATTTGCGAGAAAAAAGATCCGTGTTTCTCTTTCTGCGAAACTAAAATATGCATCGCCGAATCCTCGGTCTTTGCTCAAAGTGCAGTGCCGGCGGTCTGGACCAAATGCCAAAGTTTCGGAATTTACGGTTGTCCAATATAAAATTTGCAGGCAATCTTTGTAAATTTTTCATGATTTTTCGGCCAACAAACCCTTGTTTAGTTTAACGATATCGTTTACTTTTGAAACTGGCACCTGGTCCTGGCCACTGGTGCTATATTTTGGCCGAGACCTGAGTGTTAAGCGACGAGTAGTTTATTTTTGCGATGAGAAAAACACTTCTCTTTTGTCCCAAACAACCGGCGCTTGCGACGCAAGTTCTGACTGAAGCAGCGCACAGACCGGCACACTCTAATTTTGAAACACACTTTTAAAAAATGGACAATGATCGTTCTTCGATGCTTACAAGGTTGACTCCCTGCACCATCTAGAGTAGAATTCGAAATGCCTCGCGGACATCAGACTTGTGATGTGCAACGTTTGTCAATGCAGAAAAAGTGGCCGCGACTGCACTTGTCGCACGAGGCGTTAAAAAGCACAGCATCTGAAAGCATGCGTCGCATGCTTTCAGATTACTGCACAACACAAATGTCGCGACAGAATCCGCTTCCACAGATGTTTCATATAATTTATTGCTCATTTTTTAGGCTTTCATCTGTTTTCTGTGAAACTGCAAGATGGGAAGGGGCACCCTTATGAGGGACATTGAACTCCCAAAAAGCTTATTGTGTCAAGACTGTAGCATATAGGACACATAGCATGTCACAAAATAACTCCCCGTCCCCCAAGAAAAAATTTTTAGTGCAATACTTACGTTGGATTAAAACCAAGTGAAGTCAAGCAACACAAATATTGCACAATTCTTTTTTTTTTTTTAAGAAATATGTTTTTATTTTGGGTGCATGTGCCAGAATAGAAGCACATTTTGGAATTAATCTTCACTCAAAACAAGTCTGACATCAAAATTTCTTGTGATGTCAGACCTCAATAATTTTTTAATTTAGTTTCATACATACTTTTCCAGGCCCTTGCACCAAAGTGGTTCCACTAGATTGTCTACTTTATTATTATTTTTTACTTTTTATTATATGGAATGTGATGATCTCCAAGTAGCGAGGGTGACATGTATGCTTGGGTACCAAACTATATAACGCAAACAGATGTTGCATACAAGTGTTAGAGCTAGAAACGTGTGCAACTTTTGACCAATTAGAAGTACTAAGACGTTTTTAAGATTTCGTTATTGTGAATGTTCCGTTGTTGGATATCTGGGACTACTTTAAACCATTTATTATAAAATGGCTGTCTGGAATTTCAATAAAACAAATTATTGGAGAAACCGAGAAAAGAAAATGGTTCATAGGCGCACAAAACCGGTAACCGAAACCATAAAAATTAGAACCGTATTTAAAAGCTAAACGAAACTGATATCAACAGGAGACGGTAACTGTAACTGAAACATTATATTTTTCGGTCTCGGTCTGCTTTGAGGTAATGAAATGAAACCTCTGAGTTTTTTTTACTTATAAGGGCTGTAGATTGGACCATACATAGATTGCATGCAACGTCATTTGCGGCCATGCCAGGATTTTAAGCGCTGCAAGCATTTGGTTCGCCGCGAAAGTTTCACGCCGCACAAGTTGCGGTTTAAAGAATCCAGTAAGTAGAAATAACCGTTAGTACTAGGGATGCCGCAAACTTTTTTCAAATCAAAGTTTCGATGATCGAATCATGCGGTTCGAAAGATTTCGAATTTTCGAACTTTCCATATTGAGAAATTTGGCGGAAGTCGAATTTTCGAACTTATTACGCTGCAAAATTCGAGGCTTGTCGAACTTGATAGACTAAAAGATTCAATGATTTTCGAACTTTCAAACTTCTTGCACTAAAAAGTTTTAAGCTTTTCGAACTTCCTACGCTAAGAAATTTGATAATTTTCGAACTTTGAAACTTGTTAATTTAAAGAATTCGAAAATTGTCGAACTCTCGATTCCTAAAAAGTCACAAGTTTGACGAACTTCGAACATTTAGGGTAAAAGTTCGAAGTTCGTCGAACTGCAAAAGACCGGCGGGCGGTTTCATTTGGATTCAAGCAGCGAGGTACATTCATATTTTTTTTTTTTTTCTCAATTTTACATGGGGCGTCGCATTCCTTGCGAAAGACAATGCCGTTTATTTCAATCACCTGGCATGCTTGGTTTTAGAAAAATAGGCCCCCGAAGGAGCGAGGAAGACGACGAATTTTTGACAATTGTCGTTTGTGCCATATTTGAAACGCGCTATAGCCGAAGCTATTTATGGTAGAGACGTTAAACTTTTTAAGAATTATCTATGTATAGCCTAGGTGAGTGTCGTCTTAAGATATGATTATTGTTGTTCAAGACGAGTTTCAAATAAATATCGAAGCATGTACTTACGGACAATTATGCCCTAAACTCTGTAATTTTTTTCGCCTACATTGTTTGGGGTATTGCATTCAAATTAACACCAGAGACAGTACATATCATTTTCATCTGCAGAATACAAAATAATGTGTTTATTGTTTTTTTTCACATTGAGGAATAAATTAACTCATGGGGGAAGATTTCTAAAATTGTTCAAGTTCAGCACGTCATAAAAAAAAAATATTTTTTTTCTCATTTTACGTTTTTGGGACGTGTTTCTTTTGGCCTGTACACATTTTGGTAGGAGAAACTTGTTTCATAGTTCTGGGCCTCTTAATATGCAAGAATACAACACTTCCGGCGGGTTCTTAATAGTTTTTTCTTCTCCAGCTTTTTATTTTTTCGTTTATTGTTATGTTTATTTATTGATTGTTTTTTACCAATGCCGCAGTTCTTTAGGTCGAAAAGACATAGCTTTGAACTTTCGAGCCACCGAGCATGTGACGAGTAGTTCCTCCTGACAACGAGTTTCTAAAAGCCTGTTCACACATGCAGTGGAGCGCAACAAGCATAGCGCTGACCTCGTGCTAAGCACGTGCTGACGGGAGCGTTCCCCAGCTTTGTATCGCACCGTCAAAACTGTTGCTCATGGCATACGATAAGTACCTGACGGCACGTGAGTAGCGTTACATCAGCGCTTCGCTGCATGTGAGAAGTGGCCTTGATAATGACCATCTACGCCAGGGGTTCTCAAACTTTTTGGCCTCACGGAACCCCAGGAAGCCTCAAAAACTGGCGCCCCCCCCCCCCCTCCCTTCCATATCTGCCAACCGAGAAGCAACAGATGCACAATTGTAGGCAATTTTGCTTGTGTTGCTTCCCATATATCCTCACCATATCAATCGCAATGTCAGTACAAAGTGAGATGAAGGTGCTTTGCACGGTCCTGCGGCGCAGCCTGCGACATGGGGGTGGGGTTGCAATTTGGGTGTTCGCGGAACCCATGAGACCAGCTCGTGGAACCCCTGTGTTCTCCGGAACCCAGTTTGAGAACCCCTGATCTACGCAATCTTTTATGCAGTGAAGAGCGACAGTAGCTATACATATGCAGAAATAATTTCAGATTAAAATAAGCTCGACCATGCCCTCTTTCCCCGTATTGTTTTCTTTAACAATCCGAAATATCTGGGAGGGGGGGGGGAGAGACTGGAGCTCCCCCCCCTTCCCCTCCCCCCTCCTCCCCTCCTCTCCCTCCCCCCCCCCCCCCCCCCCCCCCGTTTTTCCTCTTCCGACGCCACTGGTATGGTAGAACGCTCCTCGACCTCAAGTTGCGTCAGCTTCTCTGCTTTTTACTCGGCGTTTCTTCCGCCCCAGAAAATAAACCTCCAAAGCAATTACAAACAAAAAAATTATCAAGCTGCAGGCGAGCTGGTGTCTGTTGATCATGACGCAAAATCCCAAGATTGGGAATGAAATTCGCAAGAAATAGTGTAAGAAGAAAGAAAAAAAAGGGGACAGGACAACGTCTCAAACTCAGCCGAGTTGAGTTTGGTACGTTGTCCTGAGCTGAGTTTTCAGCTGAGTTGAGTTTGAGACGTTGTCCTGTCCCCTTTTTTTTTGTCTTCTTACACTTTTTCTTTCAAATTTCATTCCCAGTCAGGATTTTGCATCATGTACAAACTATACTTACTATATGCCAGCGTCATTCGGGCGGCGTTCGATCGGATTACTACCAGCGTGCAAAGGGGTAGGGCGGCAGTTTGCCAGATCACTTCAAGGTTTTTCTGAACCTCAACCACCTGCCTGCCCCTGGCCGTTTCGAACTGGGTGAGTATCGTTAAACAGTGCGTTCGTAGGATCACTACTTCGTAATGCACACTAATGACCACCCCGGGCTGGCGGTCACAATTAATGATCTATTCTTTCACGTCACTGCACTGGCAAATATTCCAGCACATCCGGGGCACTCGTCGTGTCATTTAATTGCCCAACCAACTTCGCGCAGTCTAAATATCACACCCAAACTTTTCTAAACCTGATTTTGTGAAAACCAGTGAGGCGTGAAAACGTTATTTGAAACTGAAACTGTGGCGGAACATGAAAACCGGACTTCGAACTTTGCGCACTTGAACTTCAAAAAAATCGAAAACCTTAAAAGTTTTTTTTTTTTTTTTTAATTTAGCTTTAAAAGAGAATCGAAACTTTCAAACTTTGTAAGCTTTATGTAGAAAGAAATTCTAAATCTTCGAATTTATCAAACTTTATGTCTTTAACAATTCGAAACGTTTGAATTTTAGATCCAAAGAAATTCGAATCTCTCAAATTTCAAATTAGGGAAGTTCGAAATTTTCGAATTTATCGAACCTCAAGTAAACAAATATTCAAAATAATCGAACCCGAACTTTTAGAAACCGTGAAAGCTTCGAACTTTTCGAATTCGAAACTCCACGATTTTGGAAAGTTGCAAACTTTTCGAATTCGAACCTCCCTACGGCCGAAAATATCGAAACTTTTCGAAATCGAACATCAGTTTGGTTCGAAAATATTGAAACCTTTCGAATTCGAACCTAGGGTGGTTCGCGGCATCCCTAGTTAGTACCCAGCAATGGCGACACTTGCAAACTATGTATAAGCAGACAATCCCGGAAACCGCTTTAGTGCACCTTTAACAAAAGAGAAAGCTTTTTGGGAGTTTAAGTTTCCTGTGCAAAGCTCTTTGTACCTCTTTGTTCGCCCGACACAAGGAAGCAAATACGCTTTAAGCAGGGGACGCCGTTCTTTCTGTTGCGAGGCACGTCATCGTTGTCAACTTCCCCGCAGCACGCTCCAAGCTGCCCAGAGCGCCGCAGGCTACGTCGACAACGCGGCCGTAAGCGGAGATCAGCCGCAGCAGCTCTGGTCGTCGAACGATGACTCTGTCGGGGGTCAGACAGTCTTGACGCTAGAGTCCCTACCTAGCGCTTGCTGCAGCGCAAGCGCAGCATGGGCGGCCGACGCGGCGTAGGCAATCCTGTAGAGAGTCACTGTGCTGTAGAGCACGGTGAGTATTGCCATGCCGTAAATGCAGCAGTGCGTGGCTTTGTAGTAGAACCTGCACGAGAAGTGAACGTTGGGATGATGCGGTTAAAGGGGAGCTTTGGTGCTACATTGAAAGCACTGCTGCGCCGTTTGGGGCAACAGTCTTGGATAGAATATAAATATTCGTTATCCTGAAGACCAAATGACATTTAAGTGTTGTTTTTTTTCGAATACAGAACTGGCTTCAGTTTCGCTTTGACAGACTCAACTGCACAAATTAAGTCACAATAATATATCTTTTTCACTAAGTCCTTGAAGTTTCATATTTGGTCCGAGATGCTCTACCAACAACACTGAAGGTGCGACGTCGGATCTTGTGACATAATTGCCATACTTCCTATACTCAACTTAACCACACCCTACACTCCCTAGGTTCACCTTAACCATACCCCACGCTCTTTATACCCATCCCGACACTCCTTATACCCATGTTAACCACATTCCATACTCCTTATACTCATGTTAACCACTGCTTATATCCATGTTAACCATACCTTACACTCCTTATACCCATGTTAATCACACCTTACGCTCCTATACTCATGTTAACCAAGTCCCACCCTCCTTAAACTGATGTTAACCACATCCCACACTCATTATACCCACGTTAACCACTCCTTATACCCATCTTAAGGACATATCCCACACTCCTTACACCCATCTTAACCACATCCCACAGGCCCAAGTTAACCACAGGCCAGGAACCGACCTGTGTGTTAATGGAACACCAGCCTGCCAGACGACTCCCGACGCAGCCAAGATGGCTGCAGTGTAGGCGAGGTGTGGGTCGTCCGCTAGCCGCAGGAAGAAGCCCAGGCCCCTCGCCCAGACTAGGAAGGAGGGCATGGCCACTAGCATCACGCAAGCCCACAGCATTAAAATGGTCACGTGCAGCCTCCAGCCCGACGTCGGGCCACTCTTGCCCCTACGGTCTTCCAGCATTCTCTGTTGGCCGCACAACAAGGCCACCTGGGACACAGAACCAAGGTTCTTTAGCCTAACACAGAACTATGGCAAATGCACCTATAATTTTTACCGCATTTAAGTAATAACAACCCACAACAAAAACATGCTCAATTCTTACTTTAGCAATGAATACTGATCTACAATGAAAACATTTGTAATGCTTATAGGAGCAATGTGAAAATTCCGTAATGCTTATGGGAGCAATGTATAATCTCTAGTGAAAACATCTGCAATACTTACAGTAGTTACTTCATAAAACTAAGGGGGTCATCATTCTAGTGTCTTCATGTAAAAATACTCTAGAAAAATCCTAGGGAAGAAACTCATCAGATCGTTACTTCCCCCTCAAATATGCAAGGGCCTCATGGGACATGCACTTGGCTGAAAATGAGGTTGTATTACGTCGGGGTTTATGCCATACTGTGAACAGGCACAAAACAATGATTTTAAACAATGGAAAAAAAAAAGGCCTTTGTCGTGAACGTGATTTAGCGGCATGTTGCTACATACAACAGGTTCACACGCCTGGCACAGGCTCTCTTAGTTACTGCCAACGCCTGCTAGGCAGTGATGCTGGTGCTCACCACTCACTCCTAAAGAAAACATGTTCATATAGCAGATGACAGCAGATGTCGCAATTAGAACAGTTTGAGCTCGCTCCTCTTTTTAATGCACCGCCACACCCTAAGGCTCCTTTACATGCTCGACAGCTTACGAGCGAGCGCGTTAGGACCTCTCCCAATCTTCTATGACAAGAGAAAACACTGGTGCCATCCATTGAGTAACTTGTGATTTCTTGGCTTGAAAAACTTCTGACGACGTTATGAACGACCATTTCTCGTGCAAAACCTTCGCATGACGAATGCAAAGGTTTCTCACGCGAAGGAACTGCAATTAGAACAGCGAAACCTTCTCTCCAGTGAAATGCAGTTCCAAGGCCACGGCGCCGATTTGCCAATGTTTTCTCATTGCAAGATATCACAAGAGGTGACGCACTCGGTCGTAAACAGTTGCAAGTGCATAACCAGCCTTTGCAATCCTCAGCTTGACTTAACAGCACCTTACTCGTTACACATGATTAACCACATGATGCATACTTGCACCACAAATTAGAACCCTCGCCGACATGAGGTACCTTGAATCCGTAGATGAGGTAGCCGAGGACCAAAGAAACGGCGGTGGCAGTCAGGATGGCCACGACAAACAGGACTAACACGACGGACAGGGTGCTCTTCGACCAGGACATATCCTTGGGAGCCGGCAACGGCTTTGTCTGGTACCTGTTGATTGTCTCGACTCTGAAAGGGAAGCAAAAAGTCGCCCCTCTGCCATACTACTGGCGTGGCAAAGACAGCGGTAACGCGGAACGTGATGCGTCAGTGTGGAGAAACTGTGGGTACGCGGGGGGGACCGGATGGCGCGACTTTCTCGGGGCTTGTCGGAGTGCGTTGGCGACCGCCGTTGTCAACTTAAACAATATCATCTGGAAGACAATGGCTGCATGTGACGTAATCGTTAGCGGATTCCCGCCCTGCCCCAAGTGGCAAACGCGCCGAAGATCAACGAGAGAAAGCGGTAGACCATCTCGGCTATGCCGCAATCTAGCGTCGCGCTCGTTGCGAGACGCTTCGAGACATGCTGGCGGCGACGCTGATGCAAACTAGGCAGCGCTGCATGGATCCGCTAGTGATGAAACTCTGGGGAAATGTTGCATGCCTTTTCTTCTAGGTGGTATGGACAAGGCACCCTTTTCCGTCTTTGAAACTCCCAGTGGGTTGGAAGGGGGCATATCGGATGGAGAATATGGTAGTAGTACCATATCTTCCGGCGTACGAGTTGCTTTTTTTTTTTCTTTTGAATTTTCCACCAGTGCGATTTTTACGACGGCGCAACTTATACATATTTATTCTTGTAAGTTAGAGACCTTAATTGCACAAATTTGGCACGAGGGTTATATTTCTTGTTCGATTCGTTGGTGTGAATATTGAAACGCCAATGATGAACGCTGGTGGCATGCAGTCGGCTCCAGACCACATGGCCGCTTTTCCCGGGTGGTTCTCATTTGAACCCGTTCGCATTTCTACCTTCTCGTTTTTACCTTCTCATTTCAACCCAGCGCAAAACAACTTTCGCGTTTCTCCCTTTCTCATTTAAACCGTTCTCAAAACAAACTTTCGGGTTTCGACCCTTCTCAAAACGACTTTTCTTATTTTAACCTTTCTCATTTCAAATTTTCTCAAAACATGCTTTCTGGTTTTGACCATTGTCAGAAAGACTTTTCTCATTTTAACCTCTCTCATTTCGAACCCAAATTAATCCAACATCATGATCTCGCAATCTTTCTGCGGTATTTATGACGAATTCGGGTAATTACCGTATTTACTCGCACAATGAACACACTCGCGTAATGAACGCACCCCCCAAGTCGGCTCTCAAGATTTCGACTTTTTTTTTTTTTTTTCACTCGCGTAATAAACGCACCCCCAACTCGGACGTCAAAATTTTGACCCCCTCCTCCCACGCGCGCGAAATGAACGCACTTTTCTATCCTGGTGCAGCGAGGTCGCGAAGGCATGGGCAGCGAGCGTAGTCGAAAAAAACGCCTTGCAAAAGGCGTTAAAAAAATGCGCAAAGATCCAACGAAAAAAAAATGCGAGAGGAGCTTTTTTTTTTTTTGCACAGCGCAGTCTGGACTTTGGGTTCGCGCGCCGCTGCTCGCAAGCAGGTAAGAAAGAGAAGCGCTCTAAGCGGACGAAACAGCTTGCGAAAGGCGGCAAAAAGAAAGAAAAGAAACCCACGGAACTAAGAACAAACAAAAACAAAGAGAAGCTTTTTCTTTTCTTCTTTTTATTTATTTATTTATTTTTTTTTTTCTTAGGGCAGTTTGGTCGCGCGCCGCGCGCGAAGAGGTAACAAAGAGGAGCGGAGAAGCCCTCTAAGCAAACGAAACAGCTTGCGAAAGGCGGCAAAAAACAACCCACGGAACTGAGAAAAAAAAAAAACAAGAAATAGAGGAGCTGTTTTTCTTCTTTTTTTTTGCACAGCGCAGTTTGGTTATGGAGGGTCGTGCGTCGCGCGCAAGGAGATAAGAAAGCTAAGCGGAGAGCCCTCGCCTAAGCAAACAAAACAGCTTGCGAAAGGCGGCAAAAAAAAAAAAAAGAAAAAAAAAACCCCAAGGAACTAAGAAAAAGAAAACAAAGGATTTTTTTTTTCACAGCTTAGTTTGGTTACGGGGTCGGGTCGCGCGCAGAGAGATAAGAAGTTACTTCGATTTTTCAGGATAAAAGGTCCCTTCATTATGCGAGTAAACGACGCAAAAATTTTACTTCGCGTAATGAACGCCCCCCCCCCCCCCCCCTAACTTTGCATCGATTTTTAGGGAAAAAAAGTGCGTTCATTCTGCGAGTAAATACGGTAATTGCCTTCGAGCCCTCGCCTGTGGCACCGGCGACCAAAAACGCGCCAGCGGCGCATCACGTGACCCTCTCCACCCGAATGCAAAGCACAATGAACTGGCGTTTTTATTTGACTGGGTTGCGAGTGAGCTCTGTTAACTTCTTCGATCATTCTATGGTACCATGAGCACGCTGCATACGCCAACAACATAAATTACGACTCTTTGAGATGTGTGTAAACAGAAGCGGCTTCACAAAAACTTTTCAAAATATTGGCATTACCACAGTCCGTACAGCTGACAGAATATTAAAATATAAATCAATGAAAGGGCAGATGTATAAATCAGTGTGGTTCTGCCCGCACGCGCGTCAAATTTCAATAAACTTCGTTTGGATTGAAATTGTAATGCGTGTTCAAGTTTCAAACTGCATCACTATGCATACTTTTTTTTCAGCGGTGTAATAACTTGCTATTACAGAGTTGTAAAATAAAGTGATGTATGATGCAGCCCGTGTCTCAGAGCAAACATACCTTGCTCAGGCTGGATAAATTCTTCCAAAAATGTTGACCTTCTTCGAAACATAAATTATCTTTCTCTTCGTTGTTTTTGCTATCTTGTCTCGGAGCACAAAAGGGTGCCTGTCTCGATGGCTTCGTTTGCCACTCGAACCCGCTATTTGCCGCCTCAGCAAGCATTGTTCCGTTTAGTTCCCTATCCCGATTCAAATGTGACGATACCGGATACAGTCTGGCAGACAAGCTGCCCGACCTCTTGGGGGAAAACTTCTGCTGGTAAATTGCCGGTACACGCCTGAAAAGTGCAACCAAAAAGCTTGCACCCGCCAGCCTTTAACCACGCGAACGCCCTTGCCGAAGATATGAGAAAACTTTTTTTCAGGAAAAATGACCACCCGAATTGGCCATTACAAGCAATAACACACGACTAGCACAATGATACATCCGCTCCACACGACATCTTAACGACATACAGCGACAGAAGAGAAACGAAGTACCGAATCTGTGCTAGCACTTTTGAAACCACGTCACCATGTGACCACGTAGCTACATCAACAGACTCGGGGTGGCATGCAGGCATAAGGAAAATTGTTTCATGTGCTATGCAAGAGATGGTGCCGCTTCGCTTCATCTTCAACCTTCATCCTTCAACTGTTTTTCCTCCTTTCTATACCTCACTACGGTGTTCAAATGACAATGGGTTGAGATGAGAAAGGGTCGAAACGCGAAGGGCGTTTTGCGAATGGGTGCAGACAAGAAGGGTTCAAATGAGAATGGGTTCAAATGAGACGGGTATAAATAAGAAAGGGTCAAAACGCGAAAGGTTAAAACGAGAAGGGTGTTTTGCGAATGGGTTAAAATAAGAATGGGTTGTTTCGAGATACACCCCTTTTCCCAGCTGTAAGTTAAGTAAGTGAACGCCGCTCGTCTTTCAAAATTTTATTCTGCGACCGCCTTTGCTCCGAGAAAAAAGAACTAACGCGCGTTTCATAGGTTATGGACGTTGAGGAACAATTCTGAGCATAGTAATTACTGAAAGTAAAAAAGTGAAAGCCGTTTACAACTCCCTGTAACGCCGAATTGGAGCGCAGCTCTTGAGGAGGAGGAGGAAAGGGTACTGAGGGGAGGGTAGACCCCTCCTCTTCCTCCTCCCCTCATTCTATTATGTGCTGCGGGGGGTCACCTGACCTCGGGGGAGGGGGTCACGTGACTGGGGGGAAGGGGGGGTCACGTGACCTCGGGAAGGGGGGCCACGTGACTTAGGGGGTCACGTGACCTTGTGGTGACCTTGGGAGGGGTCACATGACCTGGGGGTCACGTGACCTTGGTTACGCCGACAGTGACGCCGCTCAAGCCGGAAACGGGCGCCTAAGAGCTGTGCTCTAAAAAAAATATTATTACGCCGCTTTTTTGAGCAATGAAGCCTCGTTGCTTTGAGCGAGCAACAACGAAGAAGGCGGACATACTTGGTAAGGAGGTGTCCGGACAGGACGACGACGCCGGTGAAGGCTAGCCCGAGGGCGGCGGTGAGTCCGTACGCCGCCGAATAGAGGCCGGTCCTCAGTGCGAGGTTTTCTAGGAAGCCGGACGACCCTGCGTTGTCGGGTTCCGGCCACACCATGCTCACGAGCGGCCTGCGTGGAAGACGTTTGGGTCGTCGGAACAGGGTGCCCATTCTCAATTACGGCTCAATGGCTGGAGTCAAGTGCTAAAATACTGCATATGCACATATATAATAAGAATTTTTATGTAAAACCGCAGGTTAAGATTTTCTTCCCACGAAGATTGGGTTTTTCCTTGTATATTTATTTATTTATTTATTGTACATACCCTCAAGCGCCGAAGCATTGTAGAGGGGAGGGGCAAAGCAAACAAAAATAAAACAAACTGACAAGACAAAAAAAAAAAACAATTGGCAAGAAATTAAAATATCAAAAACACACTGCCATAGGCAAAAGCAGTAAGCAATATCTGTTACGGACAAAATAACAAAATAAAATGATTCATGTTGGCTCACCAAACAGAAATGTAGACAAAGATTGGCGAAAAAGAAAATAATCAGGTATAGTTGCAATATCTGCTGGAAGGTGGTTCCAGTTGTCGGATGTATGCAAGATAAATGAATAAAAAAAAGTGTTTGTTTGGCAACGTGCTAATCCAACTTTATTTGGATGCTCCAGACGGGAAGAGTAATAGTCAGGCAATGTAAAGAATTGGTCTCGCAGTGACTGATGATGATACACTTTTTGAAACAAGCAAAGTCGAAAAAACTTCCTGCGCAATGACAAAGAGGGTAACAACAAACTGGACTTTATTGAGGATATGCTGGCTGTTCGATTACAATTAGACAGAATGAAACGAACGGCGTTATTTTGAACTAGTTCGAGAGCTTTATGCAGAAAGGCGTGGTTAGGATCCCAAATAGAGGCTGCGTATTCCAATTTTGACCGTACAGGAGTGTTATAAAGAAGAAGTTTTAAGTTAACTGGGCCGTTCTGAAGTTTCGTCGTAGGTATCCTAACATGCGGTTGGCGATTATTATATCAATATGATGCTTCGAGGTTAATGTCGACGATATAGTAACAGCCAGATAACGGTATGAGTTTACAGATTCAACTTGAATGTCGGTTAGTGTATATTCTGAAGGGCGTGCGCCTTGCCGGGAAACGCGCATTAGTTTGCATTTGTTAGGGTTTAGTTCCATACGCCATTTTTTGCACCAAAGAGTAATATTATTTAAATCAGATTGCAAAATGCGTACATCATCATCATCATGAACTTCCCGATGAATTACACAGTCATCTGCGTATAAATGCATGGAGGAAGAAACACAACTTGGTAAATCATTAATGTATATTAGAAAAAGAAGCGGGCCTTAAACTGAACCTTGGGGAAGGCCCGATACAACATCAGTCAGGGATGAATTAATGCCATTTAGAGTTACATATTGTGAGCGGTTGGTAAGGCCCGCTTCAGACGGAGCAATTTCACCCAGCAACTTGGTGTCGCAACTCCAGCAACACCGGCCGCCCGCACGCAACGCAGCAACCGAATTGCTACGACTTGCCATCATCATCATGAAATTTGATTTTTCTTACACTATTTAGACGCACAGCTACGCACTAAGAACATATATTTATATCTTTGAATGGTGTTGAGAATACTAACTCATCTTTCCGAAAAGGTTTATTTCCAAAAACGATCAATTTCAAGCCAGAACCAAGTTTATAGCTGTCATCATCACCACCACAGGGGTGTCACGTGAAAATATTGCGTCCCTGATTGGCTGCAGCCGTTTCAAACGTCTTCGAATTGCTCCGAGTTGCTCGCTCGTTCGAGCCGGACCTGATCTCAGCAATTCGTGTCGACCTAGGGAAAGCTAGGGAACAACCCGCCAGCAACCTCAAAATTGTTGGAAAAGTTGCCCCGTCTGAAGCGGGCCTAAGAGAGCATTCCAGCCAGGTTAACAAGTTAGGATCTAGGTTTAATGAAGAAAGTTTAAGCATTAGTAACTTATGATTAACCTTGTCAAATGCTTTAGAAAAATCGAGAAAAATACAGTCAGTTTGATGGTTTTTGTCCAGTATAGCATGCAAACAATGGGTGAAATGAAGCAGATGCGTTTCACAAGAAAATGAGGACTACCTTGATTTGGACGCCTTTCGGTATTCCCCCATCACAATAAAACTGTCTTGGGGGCTTAATCGGCATTCTTCGAATACACGGGATCTTACTTGTAGCTCAACGACTCGAGTCAAGTAGTAATATATTCGCAATTGTCGTTCAAAAATGTGTTGTGCCGCCGTGTTCGACAATGTCGTTAGAAGGCGATTCACTAACCCACTGGTTCTCATCTGTCGACGTTTCGGGTACCCCTTCTAGATTGGCACAAGCGACGGAGAACCCCATCCATTGGGGGAGGGGGATACTGGACAATTGCAATGATGAGAGGGTAAACCTAGATGCATGCAGACCAACTTTGAAGCTCTGGAACGGAGAATAATGAACCCCACTCACTCGGTGCACCGAGTTGTGTCTATTTGAAATTTCTGGGTCAGCCAGCATCAATTAAGAAAAGTTTTATTGCTTGGCTTGACTGAGATTATGCCGAATTTCGATTTAATGACTCGAGTCAAATGCTCCCGTCTTCAAATCGACATTCGAAACTGTGTTGCGTCGTTTTGTCCGACGGGGTGGTGAGAACAAGACTTACTAACCGACTTTCAATTCAATGGTTCGAGTTGAATACCCCCAGATTTCAATCGACATTCAAAAGTCCCTGTTGTGTTGTCTCTATGGAACTAACGGGAATGTAATAACAATGCTGCCCATACAAAAACGACAAGTCTTTTTTAAATTTCTTTTATTGAAAGTTAGAACAAAAATGTTTAGCAGCCAAATGTAAGCTCACGCCAAGTCCTTCCGATGAGGCTACTTTTAACAGCTTAAGCCAAACAAAGTAAACGTCATCATTACACAACATTTATTAATAAACTTTTGACCTGGAAGTTTCACCCAAATACTACTCTCATGTTCAGAAGGGCCAGAATGACATTCACTAACCAGCTTCCGACTCCAAGGTTTGACACTAATGTTCCCAAACTCAAAACTGTTGTCAGTGCAACGTTTACATATGACCTTTCACCTCAAAAAGCTTGGAAGTCCGACATGAACGGCAGTTTCTTGGCACTTCCGCTTTCGCATGCGACCTAAGGTCGAGAACAAGCCGAGTCGCGGACCTTTCGCCGACCGCTCATCACAAGGCCATCGGGCAATGTCCCACCGCTCACCAGAGTATGCACTCAAAGAATGCAGGAAGCAGCACGAGAGCCGCGAAGGTGCTTGCCAGGTTGAGAGCTCGGTCAAAGGGCAAGCACAGACCTGGAAAAAAGGTCAGTTGGGGAAAACGTACCACACGGGCAAAAAAAAGAGACGACGCAGACGACATTGTACCCTGGATCAGTACCATATTTTCCAGACCACCAATATTTTAAAGTCGAAATTTAACGTGGTGCCGACTATCCAAAGGTGCTAACTGTACGGACACTGTTGGCGCGAACACGACTTGGGTGCTTTTTGTATTTTACTTCAAAAGGGCACTGGGTGGTGTGGAAATTTACCACTTAGGTTAGTGTCCCGCTAAGCACCTTCCATCACTATAAGTAGTTTTGATGACAGTCCTTCAATACTGAGAAACAAAAACGGCGAAAATCGCCAATGGCTTGTTTACGACAACGGTGTCGCGGAGCATACTTCTTCGAACGGAGTCGTCGGAGCTGCGAGCCAATGCCATTGCGCCTCAGACTGTCTGCGGACCGTCTGAAGATCAGACAATTGGCAGTTGCTCTGCTGTTCCTCCTCGGTAGTAAATGTCGATACGGCCTACATCTTGCAGAGTTAAAGCCCCCACTCATGAAAAAAAGAACACATACGAGCTGACTGTTGTGTAAATTCGGAAAAAAAAGGCTGACACTTGTGGGTTGGAAAATATGGTACTCTTAGGTAATTACTCCAAAGGCAAACCGTACCCGTGTCGGATATGGAACAGAGCTGCACGCTGAGTGCAGCCAGCATCAGGGCTACCAAGTATGCTGGAACCATGGTGATGTATCTCTTCACTGCCTGAAAATAAACGATTCACTTGTGCCTCGCGACTCGTGGATAATGAACGTCATCAACAGGATTGTTAATCGAATGCAGGTATGTAATTTGACAAATGGCGTCCGTAAGTTTACTTTTTTTCACAATGTGACAGCGCACATCAAATTCAGTATCGGAACGGCAGTTTTAGCCTGGGAGTCTGAGCAGGACTCGTTGCATACAGGAGGCATGTGTACAGGCTACAACACTGACACTTTATCCTGAAAGCTACAATAACAAAACTGGAGTCTAGTAAAAGATGTTCTTTTTTTCCCTCCCTTGAAACGTTTGGGAATCGCCGGCGGTTCCCACTTGTTACAACCCGAGTTAGGTTAAAGAACGCCCGTGGCTAAACAGGCCGCCGGGGAAAGTTTGCCTCTGAATGGCGTCCATAAACGACGTGATCCCTATTAAGCAGTTGGCACCACTCTGACCTTAGGCCCTCTATTGAGCGTCTCTGTGGTGGCGGTGCCACCTAACACAAGAGAGTGGATCCTTCGGTGCTTTTGAGACCCCTGGCAACCCCGCCGGGCATTGCAATGTGATCGAAACAGTTTGTGAATTAAATTCAATTAAACTCGATCCAATTGATGGAGAAAAGGAGGTGTGGCTCACCTGTCCCAACGCCCTCTGGAAGGAGAATTGTGCCGTCATGACGTAGTTACATTCGGGATCCAGGTAGAGATGAAGTTGGACGCACGGAAACCGTCGAGAGTCCTCCTCGCTCAACGGATTCTGGATCTTGAGAGGCATTTCCGTCTGTGCTCGGCTCGACTTGGACCTGCAGGCGGCGTGCGGTTTTTGAAATCTGTCGGATCGTACCGCTGGCCATATTAGTATTTGCGTTAGGCACACACGCACTCAAACGGGGCGATCGGTAGCCGAGCGAGCTAACGCACCGTAGCTCTGGGTTGAAACACGTGGAGAGAAAGTTCGCGTTGCAGAACCCAGGGTTCCTGCTCTCGACCACAACCCCTGCCCGGTTCGATATACATTAGCATCTTATTGGCGTGCGGTTGTGTATCTTTACCGTGTGACACGCATTAAAGACCCCAGGCTAGCAGTCATACTGCACTGGCTAAATTTCTCGTCTACAGGGGGGACAACACAATTATGTGCTTAGACACACGCACAAGGATGCAGACACAAAGACAATGGTTTTGACTAGGAATGCTGCAAAGTTCTGCCAAATTCCGAGGTTGGACCAATTCGCTGAACCTTCAAACTTTTGGCAAAATTCGACCAAGTTCGACTTCTAAGCTGTGTTGCCTGCTGCCTACATAAATAATAAGAAAGAAACATTATAGAGCATTTTAAAATTAAGAATACGATTACCAATGTTTGCCAATGTTTGTTACCGTCATCCGCAAGGTGGCGTCGGCACATTCTCAATCACCGAACCAGTCAAACTTTGCGTTCAAGGTTTGAAAATCTGGTGGAACTTGAATTTCTACATGTTTGCATTGTCTCTAGATGTCACAACTGGACATTGTGATGGCGAAGGAGACTGCTAAAGCAATATTTGAAGTGCTTAGTAAATTCTGCGCGCTCCTGTGACGCCAGGCAACGCTAGAATTTAAAGATTTTTTTTTAAAATTTGGTTAGTCTTGGCTAGGTTTTTACAGGCCCAATCATGCTGGCTTATGGCAAGCCATTGCTAGCGGCCGCCTTTATAAAGGGGCTGCCACCAAATCTAATCCAAAATATTCCAAGGAGTAGCTCTTTTTATTTCAAGTAAGCCTAGCTTCACCCTGTATCGCTGTACCACTAAACTTTCGGAGCTTATTAAATGCAGCAATGTAGTACCTGGCATTCGAGCAGCGGAGACGAGCACACTGTCCTGGCACCTAGAAAATGAGGAGAGACTCCCACAGTATCTGTCGGCTCACTCCCAGCTTATGAAACCTTCGTCTCATCAGATGGCACGACAATGGCGTAAAGGGATCTAGCCGTAGAGCTCCAAAACGTTGTCCGAAAAGCGCCGGCCTTCAAAACCAACGACCGCCTTCGCCACTCATCTCCGACACCCACAGACAAGTACAGATGGAGAAAAAAAAGACGACGTACTGCGGATACTTGATGCTGAAAAACCGATCCTCCTGGCTCCAAGGCACGACAAAGCGTACGATCCCCTCGCCTGCACAAAGGTGGTAAGTAAGAGGCACAACGTACAAGGATGTACTAATGACGTAGTTACGTAACAAATCACGGAGACAGAGAAATGCGGCAGCACAGTTATTGCTCCGAGGCAAAGCGCCAGTCTATGGATCCCCAGGTAGCGGGTTCGAATCCCGGCCGAGGTGCCCGCAGTCTGACGGAGGTTTGTTGCGGAGATTTCGGTCGCACGTCGAAACATCCCCAGGTGGTCAAAATTCATCCTCGGTCTTCCGTTGGGCATGCCAGATGCACTTCATTGGTTCGGCATGTAAGACCTCCAAATTCGACTTTCTCATTTTTGATTGGTTATTGCTGCCACACTTAATGCGTTCAGAAACCGCATATCCGTGTTGCACTCATTTAAACGAGCCAACAATCAAACGTGAGAAGCTAGGGCAATGAGAAATGGAATAACGTATTTGTGTCCCTTGTTTCAGGGTAAATGTAACATTGATATTTAAAAAAAAAATCTCTTCGTCCATAAAATGGTTTAGGATCAATTACACCAGATTAATCGAGCAATACAGATCTAAGCACAATGTTTTCAAAAGCTAATACTCGGAGAATAAAAGACTGCAATTCACTCTAAATTGATATACTAGTAATGCTTTCTTGCACTATAAACTGTACTGCTGCACTCAATGACATATTTTCAGACACTGCTTTTTATGTGTTCATGTTTTTTTCTTGTTGCATTTTTAACTCTGTATTTCTCTTTTGCAATGGCTTTCCGTGAGGAGTTGCAGCATCATAAAATAAATAGATGCCGTATTCTGCGAACCAGTCCATGAATTATACATGTTTAAAAGTTAAAATTCTATGCCGTGCAGACTACTAGGTGCAGACACCTAAAAAATGATTTTTTTTTTATCATTAATTACGACGAGATGGGACAAATTTTGTAAATAACAAAGTACATTAATGTTGATTTTCATTTGATACAAGCTTTTTTATCAGCTTATAAAACTAGCATTTTCAAGGCGTGCAGCATACGAGAATTTTTATGTGCAAACTGGGCACCAGATGCGGAAAATGCACCGGGTTCAAACTATCTAAGAAAAACCTTTTTTTTTTTTTGGTACCAACCTGTTTTACTGTATTACCAGATTTTCCGGACTATTGTCTCTGAATGCACTGTATGTTCTGGACAGCAGTCCAGAAAATATGGTATGGTAATACTAATACATTTACCATATCTTCCAGAAAATAAAGTATTTTAATGCAATACAGTTTCTGGTTCAGTTCATATTTTCTGGAAAGTATGGTAATACAATAATACAGTGTGATACTGCACATTTACTGTACGGTAATACAGTAATAAATTTACAGTATTTTTCGGAAAATATGGTAATACAGCACAATACAGTGCGGCATTTTCTATACTGTATCGCGCTAAAATACAGTAATATATATACAATATTTTCCGGACAATATGGTAGTAATACAGTGTGATACAGTGCAACATTTACCATACTTTTAACATACCGTAATACATTATACATTTTCCCAAATGTTGCAGTTGCTACTCGGAGGAGCCTCTGATAAGTTCATGGGCATGACCCCAAAGGCCCGTACACACACTTGTGTTTGCTTAGGACCGAGCTCTCACTATCTCTTGTGACAAGGGACACATACTGGCGCCATTTATGAGGTGTCCCCTCAAACTGCATTTCACTAGAGTGAAGGTTTTGCATTATTCACAAGATCAAACGTACACGCTATCTAGCAGAAATGGTTGTTTATAACGCCATCAAAAGTTTTATGAGCTAAAAAGAAAATGATGTGCGATAAAAAAAAAGGGGGGGGGTAATCTACGAAACTGACAGTCTTCTACGGCTACCCAAGAGACGGCGCCAGCGTCTTCTCTCGTTGTAAGAGATCTTAAGAGGTTTAAAGGAACACCGTCATAAGCAGTTGCAAGTGCGTGAACCAGCATTAAGATCTTGAAAAACGAAAATTGCAAAAAAAGCTAGCTTTAAAAACTTTTTTTCTCTCGATTTATAAGTCACAAACAACATATTTTCTAATACTTCACTTGGAAAGTGCACGTTTATATAGTTACATCGATTCAAAGTTTCACAGCGTTTGCAAGCACGTTAAAAAAAACACTTTCTCGTTTTCTCGGAATTCACATTTCTTCTGGCAACACAAAGTTTTGCTCGCGGTATTTTTGAACCTAGAACTTGGACCTGAATACATTTTTTCGGGGTTAAATACCTCACAAATTGGAATGTTCAACAAAACTACTATTTCCGCAGAAATGTTAACTAGAAAATTTTATAATTCGCAAAGACTTTAATGACTCATTTCTAATTATCAGCACAACAATTTCAACTTATGATAACTTTTTTTAGAATGAAGCTAAAATTATAAGAATGGTTTTCGTTGCACTCCCTACTGTTTGTAGAACACACCAATATACTTTGCGCCATGCTTTATGACGGCGGAATCGTAAAAAAAGTTAGGGCAGGAATATTTGTGACAAAGTCGAGACTTTCAATAGACTGGAAAGCAACAAGCTTGTTAGTCCTTGGCACCAAAAATTTCAGTAGATGTGAGAATATAGCATAGACGATTGCAAGCAAGGCCAACGGCTGCCCCCATGACCCTGCTCGTGCGGACAGGCACGTGCAATTTCGAGCTTGCCAAAGCTACGTTCACGAGCAAGCTGCACGCACTTGCACTCATAGGGAACCATGCTTGCAAATGTCTATGTGCAGCGCGAGTTTGTCTGCTTCTTGCACAGGTGCTGCGATGATACCAGAACACCAAACTCTAGTTGGCCGATTGAAAAAAAAAAGTGGGTAGACCTCAAGGCATCTATAGCATTGAGGCCTATCCACTATCCTTTCAATCGAAGCTAATCAGAGCTCGGCATCGCTCCGACGTCACCGCAACTCTTGCTCAAGAAGCAGACGACTTGCTCTCCGCATAGATTAGGTGAGAAATCTCGAAAAAATCTTCGAGACCAAAGTCCCCCCTCGAGAGGAAAAGCGAGAGGACCAAGACGTCGTGCAATCCGATCGGGCTCACCCTTCGTGCCGGCACGGCAGACCTTGGAAGCGAGAGTCACGTCGTACGCCTGCCAGAGATGCCTGAACCCTGAGAGCGTCAGGTTGTAGAAGGCCGCCCCTTCCGTCAGGGGGACGTTGAGGAGGGTCGGGGGCGGCCCGAAAAAGGAGGACAGCGCGGAGGGCACCTCCAGCCGTCTGGTCCGCAGGGACCTCTTGTAGCGCTCGCCCACCACGACGACCTGGAGTGGGCCGAGGGGAGACCCTGGTCTTGACTGTTTTTCTGTCGTTTCCGATCTAGTCAATATTAAACTTTCCACATCTACCGTTCAGTTCTTGGGCTAAGCACGAACGTAAAATTGTTGTTTTTTTAATGTATCATAGTTTACAGGAAAATCAAGACTTTATCACAAATGTTGCTGCCCAACTTTTTTTTAAATTGGCCCTATTGAAAAACATGGCACAAAGTATGTCAGCATGTTCTAGAAACGGCAGTGAGTGCAACAAAACTATCGTTGTAATTTTACTATAATTTTATAAAGAAGTTATTACGAATTGAATTTTCTTTTTCTGATTATTAGAAATGAGCCTAAAGCCTTTGCAAATGATAAAATTTTGTTGCTAACATTTTTTCAAAAATAGTAGTCCTGTGGCACTCTAATTTATGAGGTATTAAATCCTGAAAAAAAAGTATTCAGGTCAAAGTTCTAGATCAAAAGATAGTGAGAAAACCTGCGTTGTGGCAAAAAAAATTAATTCTGAGAAAACAAGAAAATCTTTTAAAAACATGCTACGAACAGCCTGGATATAAAGCTTTGAATCGATGTAAATAAATGTGCACTTTCTGAGCGTAGCACTTACAATACATGTTGTTTGTGACTTATAAATAAAAAAGAAAAGAAACCTAAAAAAAAATTGTGTTTCGGGATTAAAAAATAAGGGGGACTAACTTTTGCGGTCCAATCAAGAAAAGTTGAAGAAATGCTATTTTTTGATTGTGCGTCCCTGCCAAATATGTTGTTGCGGTAAGGAGCAATGAAGCAAAAATGAATGTACTTCCCAGTTGGCAGTGTTTGCTTATATCCCACTATAGCTTAAAAGGAAAACAGCAAATCACATAAAAAATAGTGGGGCGATTTTTGGGATTTTACGGCGGATACCTTTGCTCCTTTTAGAGTTATTATTTATTCGCCGCATAGACTACCACACAGAAAGCCATTAGCCGTTTATGGACACGTGAAAATAAAGATTATTGAATTATTGTTTAAGGGGCCTGTAGGCCCCTGCGTCTCTTTAAAGTGTCGGCGCTGAAGCCGGGAAGCGCACCTCAGGTGTAAACGGACCCCTTTCAAAACTTTGTCGAGCAACACTGACGGTCGCCATTTCTTCGATACACAAAGATTTTTGGTGTGGAAGAACGGAGGAGGAGGTTAGAAGATTGAAGGAAGTTATCTAGAGAAAATTGAGCGAAGTAAAACTAACTGGCACAACTGGGGATGGGAGGAACGGAGTAAAGTTGTGAGTCCCTCCCGCGTGGCTCCATCCCAAAGCCTCAGGCCCGTCTCCCAGGGGGACGGGTGTTGGGATAACGCCAACTACGGTTTGACTAGACGAAAATTGCTGACTCCCTCGCTGGGGGGTGATGTTTTTTTAGTTTTTTTGCCCAATGCTCCAAAGGTCATCCTGGCGATATCCCACACTGCTTGGTGATAGTTTCGAAAGCGCAGAGACGAAACAAACTGATTTAGAAGGGCGAGGGGAGGAATCATACTTTTTGTTTTTTTTAGTTTCTACGCTAGGTGGCGCAAGCTACTGCCCGTTTATAAAGGCTGCAGCCGTTGGCTTCCGTCCGTCCATCCATTCATTGGGCACGAAGCGTGGAAATGGAACCGAGTCCTCGCCGAACCAAGACGCATTGTTCTCCATTCGAACAGAGCGGAGTTTGCGCCAAATGCCGACGCAGCTTTTGTGTACAACAGCCGCTCGGAGCGCGTGCCCAAACAATAACAGACTAGGATAGTTGGTGCTGCAGAGATACGGAGGGTTCCTCGAAATCTTGAGGTTTCAAACTATTTGTAGCAAAACTTGAGAAGAATAAAACAGAACAAAAAAACTGCACAATAAAACGGAAGAAAGAAAGCGGATGACAAACCCTCGACGAAGACGCCAAGGCTCGAATGAGCAGACACTTGACCCCCTTGGCCCTGAGGGAGGCCGAGGTCGTGTGGAAGACGCGGCGCTCCTCCCAAGATGTCTTGGCAGGTATCGTCTCACCCTCGTGCGACAGGCTTATTCCGGATAGGCTGCGAAAAAGAATGACTCGCCGTGAAACCTGGCGACGCGAGTGTCTTCTGTTGCACAGACTGTCTTTCCCGCCGTACTATAATAATAATTCTTTATTTTCTTCGTGCCCCAGAACAACCTCGCAGTTTTGATGTGGTAGCAGAGGATATAAAATTTAAGAGATACAATTCATACACTTTCACAGATGGTAGAAAATGAAAAAGGTCGAACTCATCGCGGGAAAGTCAAAAATAAATAGCACAAAGCAATCACACTAGAAAACGTTCATGCTCCTTAGAAAATTAAAGACAAAAAACAATTCATGCTAACATAAAATCCCACAAAAAAGAGAATGGTCTATATCAGTGGTTCTCAACCATTGATGTTTCACGGACCTCTTGTAGATCGGCAGATACGATGAAGGATCCCGTTCATGGTGAGCGGAAGGGAAAGGTATAGGTTAATTATGAAAGTGATTTAATAAATGTATGACTAAGGGCTAGTGTGAAGTAGACTTCTCTTATTGACACATACACGAGAAAACTTGCCTGAAAATTGGAACGTTTCTTGTCAATCTGAGTAAAGACAACTTCTATTGCCGGGCTTGACTGATGAGGCTGGGCTTCGCGGACCCCTAGAATGCCTTCGCGGACCCCAAAGGGGTCCGTGGACCTCTTTGGGGTCCGCGGATCAAGCTTCGCGGACCCCTAGAATGCCTTTGCGGACCCCAAAGGGGTCCGTGGACCTTCATTTCAGAACCACTGCTCTATGTGGAGTGCAAGTTCGTCTGCTTTTTCTGCGGTAATTGTGGTGATGGCAGAATGCCGAGCTCTGATTAGCTCTGATTGAACGGTAGTGGGTAGACCTCAAGGCAGCTTGCTTTGAGGTCTACCCACTATCCTTCAACCAGAACCAATTAGAGCTCGGCATTCTGTTGTCACAACACCACTGAAAAAAAAAAAAGCAGACCAACTTGCGCTCCACATATCATCAGAATGATCTTAAACATAGAGTTCACAAGCTAGTTTACGCTTGAAGGAGATCATTTCATCAAAAATGTCCAAGTATGGGGAGACTAAATTGTTAAATGACAGTTGCATGCGAATTAATGATAATATTTTTTCTTGAAGAAAAGGATAAAATAGAGAGTGGTGTCTACAAAAGTGAGCGGGTGTATGAAAACGTACAGAACTTATAAGGTCAGCATCAAAGTGACCATGAAGTACTTTGCATAGAAGGAGAATATCACGGGTGAGTCGGCAAGTGGAGAGATTTTGTCAATGGAGAATTTTGAGTAGGTAGACGTGGTCATAATAGCATCTGTTGAAATACCTACAGTATATATTATGAATAAAACGTTTTTGTACAGTCTCAATTCGTGACACTCAAAGGGGGTCACCAAGTTCCATGCTACACTACTGAACTCAAGTTTTGTTCGTATAAGGCAGGAAAATAGACGTACAATGCAAAAATAATTCCTAAAGTCAAATGGCATGCGAGAAAGTAAACCAAACATTCGTACAGAAGAGGCAACAATTTGTGTAACAGGACCAAAGAAAGAAAGCTTGGTGTCGAAATAGATTTCTAGGTCACAAATCATGGTGACACGTGTGATAGTAGCGGACCGAAGAATGCAAGGGTAAAATAAAATCTCACGTTTTCGTGACATAGTCAGTAGTTTTGTTTTGTCTGGATCAAGCATCAAAAAATTTGCCGTACACCACACGTAACAGTCACGACACACCGATCTCACCAAGCGTTTCCTGCGTGCGTGTCGCACTCTGGTTCGGCGAACCCACGGCAAGGTTGTTGCACGTGGCAAAACTATTGAGGTCTCCTCGGTGTGTCGCAGTGGCGCCGGCGTAGCAAAGCTGGCTGTCGAGATCGGTTCGGGAGTGTGACGAACATCAGATAACTAGTGTTCATTTAGTTTCAGCCGTTTTCACGTGTTAGCAGACAGCGATTGACAATGTTCCGAGGTAAGCACCTACGAAAATTAGCTGGCCATTATCCAAACTTCCCCTACGAAGAAAAACATGACGCTTGTGCTTGTTTACTACAATTCTCCCACGAAAACACCAACACTGTCCCAACAGCACGCAACAACCATAGAAACAAAGCTGGCATTCCGTCTTACAGCATTAAAACATTTTATGGCTCTTTTATATCCCACCACTTTGAATTGGAATCACTTCCCCACACCTGTGTCTGCAATTGCTGATATTAGCGGTTTTAGAAATGCCATGATTACCCCTTATTGTTGTAATGAGCTGCAAACAATTACTCGAGTTTTCTCAATACTGTCTCTTTATTGCGGCGAATATTTGATAATTTGCCCCCCTCAGTGATGGCCCTGGTCCTAAGGGTAACGAAATTAATAAATAAAGACCGGGTACCACCAGAAAAGTTGACGACCCACTTACCAAATGACTCTGCCATTTGTGTCTTGCGTAGCTGTACACCCAAAGATCCAATCTTGATTACTCTATTCTCGTAGCAGGGAAACAAAAAACGACAGCTGCCTAAGACGCTGGTACATCTTGGCACGACCAAACTAGGGTGATACTACAAGCCAGCCTCCAATACTCCATATTCATATGAGTAGTCGTGAGTCATGAGCAAATAGTGCAGTTTGAGGTCGAAGCGAATTTGCAGTAAATAGTGGTTTTGGTCAAATATTTTCAAATCGAATATTGAATAGGTTTTCCAAACATTTCACTACCATGCTCCATGTTTAAAGGAAACTTCAGCTGAACCCGTGAATGCTGTTCCTAACCTTTCACTGTCCACTTGTAAGTGCAGTTAATTTTAATGCAGCTATATTTACTAACATAGTTTGAGAGTCTGGCATAATCGTGGCAGGTCAGCCCCGTTGAGTGCGCTTCTTACTGAGCACCCGTGCACTGCAAGGAAGCAATATTGGCGATGCCCGCAAGCTCTGCAGGTATTGCTTTCCCGCGGTGCACAGGTGCTCGGTGAGAAGCACACTCAAAGGGGCTAACTCGCTGCGATCGACGCATCGGAGAGTATGAATTTCGCAGTTCTTCTTGAAGCGAATATTGAATAGCGTATTATTCAAAACTACTATTAGAAAATTTGAATATTCGCATTCGCACATATATGGAGCATCTGATGAACCACACCTGAATGAGAGGACAAGCTCTAGAGAGTAATGCGCTAAAAATAATAATCACTTGATGATTAAAATTATTATTGTTTGGCTGCATGAGTGGCACAATCATTATTCAGTAGGTGCACTCTGAAGCATGTTATGCCAGACATACAACAGACCATCATTTAGCCTTATGGCAGTGCGATGATAGAGTAGGATACTCCATACTGGAAAAAATGAAAAGCTTCATGAGGTGCAAAGGTTAAAACAAAACAGTATCAAAAAGTAGTAGTACTACAACAAAAATCAAAATACCTAAGGCCGTTCAAGAATGCAACCACGAAGTAGGGAAAATGTATTGAAGTAGAACACTTCAGGCATCACTAATATAATGGCAGTAACACTAATCACTAAAATAACAAGAACGACAGGGAGGTCTTTCAGTTGATAATGCATTGGCGTCACGCGAGAGTCGAGCGTGCACGTGTAGCCAAAGCACGATAGAAATCAAAGAGCGTATGCTGGAAGCCGAGAGGCTGAGAAAGACGCCCCGCCGTTCTCGTCCTGCGAGTGAATACAGTGGCACATAAAAAGGGTCGTAATAATTAATGGCAGACTTACGAGGCCCGTCTCAACCACGACAATGGACTCATTGTCGTAAAATGGCATGACCACAGACTGCACGGACAAAACCTGAAACAAAAAAGAACGGGAGAATGGGCGTTGCAAAATGTCCTGGAGCGCTAAAAAAGGCAGACTGGTTCTCGAGTCTCGTGGGCATCTAAAAGGATCGCCTGCCTTAAAGAGTAACTGCAAAGAAAAAAAAGTGTATTTTTAAACAGCCTAATTAGGACAGGCATGTCACAAAACAATTTTTCCGCCAAAAACAAAATCTTTTACAGCAATATTTATGGCGCGAGACTGATTTTAGTTTGTGGCTATTTCATCAGTTTTAAATCGCGCGCTACAAAGTTGGTATTTACACGTCACGTAGTGGCTTCTATAAACAAACTCATCTCTGTTATGTCATGGCGCAGTGGTGGCGCGTCGGACGCACTTCCGGTCCGGGGCTGTGGGCGGAAGTGCCCATCTGAGACGTGTATTCCTGCATTGTTTTGTAAGAAACCAGACAAAAACCTGCCTTCTCAACAAAATGCTGCGACTGGCGCTGTACCAAAAGGGTCGACAAAGGTTTGAAGGTTAGTTTTCAAGCGCTCGGTTCGTCCGAGAACGTGGATATGTGCTGTGAGAAGGGAAAACCAGACGCCGTCGGACCACGATTGTTTGGGCGGGAAGCACTTTGGGTTGAATTCACGGATAGTTGTGGTCATCAGACTTATTTGTTTTGTTCCAACATGGACGCCCGAAAACCGCCAAGTAGTGCGGACCACCTGCGGACTACGTTCAGTGCGTCCTCAAGTTCGAACGGCGGCCTGATTGTTCGAACTGTCGTCTGCTCTTTCAAACGTTTCTGCTTGTCGTCTGCTCTCTTAGACGACGCCGGCCCATAGACCAAACGTGGGCTCGGTACTTGCGATAAGAAGTGCAGGCCTCAAAAGACTTAAAGGGGCACTGACACATCAAAATCATATTTTTTTTTATTATCCGAAACGGTTGAAAACGATGCCGGGACATTACCCTCAAAATTTGAAATTTGGGAATTCAGTATTTGTGAAGTAAAAAAACAATTTCCAAATGCCGAATTCGAAGTTCCCGCGCGATCGGCGCCGGTGCCTTGACGTCAAAAATTCCGGAGACCTGAGAGTCCACTTCCCTGTCACCACTCCCTGCTGTTGCCATGGCGACCCAAAGCGAGGAGGATAGGAGCGAGCGCCGGCTAGCGCCGGCGTTGCGGCGGACCGGTTTTGAGCGGTGTCGCCTGTTTTCCGTTGGAGGATACAAATCCAGGAGACGGCACCACAACGAACTCCCGATTTTTGGTATTTCAAAAAGAAGGGCCGTAGTGCGTTCGCAATTGCGTTAAAAAACATGTTTTAGGATTGCCGTCATTAAATGTTATAAAGATGCCGCCTACAAAGCTTCTAAATTTCCTGATTTTTGACGTCACCGATCAAAAGAAGCGAGGAGGCGAGAGGCGGGAAAATCAAACGCCAAAAATAAAAAGGCGCGCGTGCGCGCGGGAAAATTTTTTTTCGCGATGTGGTTTTTTTTTTGCGTGTCTATGGCTGCAACTTGCATCGTTTTAGACAATAAAAATAAATACGACCTTTGGGGTGTCAGTGCCCCTTTAAGTTGGAAGGTTGGTAAGCAGGCTCGACGTGAACAGCAGATACAAGGAGATGTTGATCATTGTTACCAGTGGCCATCACCGACTCGTTATGCCTGATTCACTTGGTTAGATTCTGCTTGCGATTTTCAGTATCGACGTCGACTGTCTCAGCTACGGTTCACGCTTTTGCAATCTGAGCGACGTCGCTACTGAAAATTGCGAGCGAAATCTCATCATGTGAATCAGGCTTTAGCGTACATTCCGAAGCGTCCACGCGGAACGAATCGCCGCATGTCAGATTATTCACGCGAAGTTTTGTGGTGTAACGAGCCTCGTTAATTTCGCTGACGCCGCTCAAGTAGTCAGACATCGCTAGGAGGACGTAGAATCAACAATTCTAATGCAAAAAAGAGCGCGGGGACTCACACCGACGCCGACAACATCGCATTTCAATGGTTTGCTTATGGGCGATGGCGAGCTTCTTGCCCACACCCCCATCGCGCATGCGCGGCGCCAGTGGCGTCCGCTAGGGGTGCTCCGGGTGCTCCGGTTTGTTTGTAAACATGAGTTTGTGTATACGTCACAGAGTGACGTATAACAGCCACTCCGCGCGGGTGAAGGCTCCTCCCAATGCTGCTGCCGTTTCTTACGTTCCTGATAAGCATGCACACATTCTGCAGCCGTCTGCTTCATGGGAGCCACGGTCACAGGGGAAGAAAAGGGCGCCTGAACGGCACCACCTACTGAAGGTTCACTCCCATTTCAGACATACCGTGAGATGATGCAGCCCGACGGGAAAGGTTGCAAAGCAAGTGACTATGCCGTTGCATGCTGCACCAATGAGTTCGCTTTTACGAGCTGGCAACTATCGACCCTGGATAGCTCAGTCGGCAAAGCACTTGACTCACAATCTCTAAGTGGTGAGTTCAAGTCCTGCCAGAGGCTTGAACTCTTTTTACATGGTTCCCTGTGTGTGTAATGCTTTTCTCGGTTTTTCATTACAGCCGGCCGTCATAGAAAAATGTTACAGATCTCCATGAACATAGGCCGACAAAACACGTTTTGCATTAAGATAGGCTGGTTTACATGTCAAAAGCTTCACGAAGAGCTGTGAAACAGGGGCATAGAACAATCATGTCATTTGTGCCACAACTTAGGTCGTGCAACTATACGACGTGTATGCTACGTTGTGTGCCATGTCACATGGTTAAGTGACAGACAGTGCCTCATCGGTGGTATCACATGATCATGTCATGTGATTAGTTATGATGATTATGCCCTGTGACCACTATTTGCTTATTCTAGTAGAAAATATTATATATTGCCTTACACTGGCACCCCAGACTGCATAGTACTGACTTTATACAAAGGACCAAGCTGTCTACTTCTTAAAAGAGAAGTTGCCGAAGCTGGTGAATCATTTTTAACGGTAAATGAAGGCAATTTCAACTTTAAAATTAATCAATCAATGAAAGTTATACCTCAGTCACAAAAAGAAAAAAAAAAGGGGGTTAAATGTGACCACGACTAACCTTGTTCTTGCGAAACCTCCAAGACGCCTCAAGTTTCTCGGACCATTCGCCACCTTGGCCGAAGCGCACCAGTTCTGGCGGAGCGTGTTGTGGAAGTTGCTTGCCATACGGCTGACGGACGAAGTGGAAGCGCACCACTTCTCGGATCAGATCTGGATCCGTCGTTAGCTGTGGAGTTGCGGAAGAGTGTAGTGCAGATATTCTAATTGTAATTCGCTTCAAAATGGACTGCGATATTCATATTTTGGAAGTGTCGGTTCTGGTGGGTTAGTCCCGTTGAGTGTGCTTCTTGCCGAGCACTGGTACACTGCGGCGACGCAACACCTGTGGAGCTCGGTTTTGCGGGTTCTGCTTTTCTGCAGTGCACCGGTGCTCGGCAAGAAGCACACTCAATGGGGCAAGTCCACTTTTTTCTTTTTTACAGATATTGCAGGCCAATATTTTGGCCCACACAGGATTGGATGTTAAGGTTTACAGCACTTTTCCAAAATTTTATATCTCAGAAAGGATATTCGCACACAGTAAGATTTATAAAACTTCTAGGTGATCAGGTATAGCTGGGCATCTCTAGGTTTAATTCTATGTCAAATGTGTCATTCACTTGCTGTCCCAATGTAGGCATTGGACTTTTTGAAGCTACAATTCATAAATATGGTTGGATTAAAATGAATTTGGCTTAGAAACTGACATGTGGAAGCTAGGAAACGACCTCCTCGAGTTTATCTGCGCTTTTGTGAAAGCATGGTGCAGTAGTGATAGACATGGAGAAACTTTGATTATAAGATATTACGCCGAAATCACTATTCACATAGAACCATAAAAGAATGCTCAAGGCACGATGTCCTGCACACGGTACTTCGGTTGCATCAAGAGTTACGCAAAAAAAAAAATTAAAACTGGTTCACAGGCACACAACTTCTTTTTTTATTCTTTTAAAAAAATTTTACGACGAGAGAACAGATTGGTGCCATCTGTTGGGTAGCTGTGGAACGCTTTCAGTTTTTTGTCATTTCCTACTCCTTTCATGTGCCGTTCTTTCTTTCTTTGCGCTGAAAAACTTTCGACAATGTTATAAGCGACCCTGTCTCATAAACAGTATGCACACTCGATCTCGCGAATACCGCGAAATCCTCACTAGTGAAATGCAGTTCCAAGATCACCTCATAAATGGCGCCAGTGTGTGCTCTTGTCATAGGAGATCACGAGAGCTCGGTCCTAAACAGACGCAACTGTGTGAACGGGCGTTCCAAGGAGCAGTGCAATGACTCTACCATTGAAAAAATTTGCAGCTCGTAGGTAATATTTTTTATACAAGGTGTGGCTATTGAACAAGAAGAATCGTCTGATAAATAAGTTTAAAAAATGACACAATGCCAACATTGTCTCATTCTATGTACTCCCCTCATCTGTCCCTACACCATTCCATGAGAACCTCGCACTGCTGAAAGCAGTGCTGTAGGTCATCGAGTGATAAGCCCTTCACGAGCCCCCCAACCTTTTGCCTTCGCAGCATCAACAGAGTCAAACCTCGTTCCTTTTTAACCAAGACTTGATCTTGGGAAAGAGGATGAAGTTGGATGGGGCCAAGTCGGGCGAGTATGGCGATGCTTCAACACGGTGATGCCACGCAGAGCCAGGAGCGACATGACTGACAAGGTTTTGTGTGCCGGCACGTTGTCTCGACGAACGATCTGTGAATTGTTCCTCCACATCTCAGGTCACCTTCGATCTGTTAGTTTTTAAAATGAAAACTGGCACGAGCCCAAAGAACAGATTCTGTCATTCGTTTTACAGTAAAACCTCATTAAGGAGGGGCACTACCCAGGAAGGTCAACTTCTGAGCCTTCGGCGTAATACGAATGAAATTTACAGTATATACTGGCAGTTGTGAGGCAGAATGCAGTGCAAAGTTTCATCCGTGTACATGAATAGTAAAATAAATTATAGTTGTTTTTATCAGGAACACACCGACTTTGTTTAGGAAAACTATTGTTTGAAATATAATGTAATACCTAACGTTTTTCTTTACTAGATCTGCAGCAAAATGCCTGGAGAGTGCAACTGTGAAAATAAAATTTTCTAAAAGTAATTTATTTTATGCTAACATTGCAGTGAAAAATGAAATAAATTTTTTGCCTTTTATGTTGTCGACAAAATTTGAACCTTTTATAAAAGACATCTACAAAGTCAAAAAACAATTCCACAGTTGCATTGCCCATAAAATTCCAGTTAAGAAAAGCAATGAGTGAGTTTTTCCTTTTTCCCAAAGTGAAATTTATACCAAAAAGTGGAACAGAGAAAAATGTGTTCAAAGTGCTCCAACCCCTACCTTTCTTTAGCATGAATGGACCGAAAATAATTTATAAAGAATGAACTATGCAGTGTAAACTAATGAAACTTTCCGAGAATACTCTCTAGATGTTGGTGGATATAAATATAGCATTTTTCAAAATCAACTTTTTTAGCAGAAATTTCTTTTTCTGGGTAGTGTCCCCTCCTAAATCAACGCCCGCTAATTCGGAAATTCGGATAAGTTTAACTGCCGATCCGGTCCCGTCAAACATGTGTTTTAGTCAATCGCACCAAACACTTATTAATTCGGAGGCAGTTGGGCGCACTATGGTTAATTCCAATAAATTCGGCAGGTGGCACAAGCTACCGCCCGTTCCAAAGGGTATGACTGCTATCCATCTGAGATGGACATGTGGTTCTTCCGGTTTTAACCATTTCTTCCAGCTCTCCGTGTCTTTCTTATATATTCTAATATATTCCAGTATGAAAATTCTAAACAAGAACAAGAAAATTTCCTCGTCATCAAGAATACCAAAGACTAGAGGCAAGACCAAGCGGAACAATTACTAACTTAATACCAAAGGGAAAAAAAAACAAAAAACTAAACACAAATAAATATAAATGCCAGCATAATTTTTCCAAGTTCGTTCCAATGCCAAGGTTGAGCTGCCTTCCTGTTTTTCTTTTTAAATGGCTTTAAGAACTAAATAAACTTGTGGCCATTTACGGCCCTCATTTTTTCATTTTAAATTGGACTAAACCTGTTATACCGTCAGGTGGTGCAGGTCGAGAGAAACCGTTTATTTCCTTTATTTTTAACACTCACTTAGAAATTGAGTAATTGAGTTCTCCGTGTTTCCTGCCAGTTTTGGCTTTTGCTCTGGAAGGCCGTGCGTTCGGCGCACTGGTTTGCACGCTCCTGGCACGTCGTCGACATCGTCATCACGTGCAGCAACTGCAGCAACCTCCATGGCGGCGCTGCCAGCAAAGTGGCAGAAATACCAGGTCAAGGATTTAGCAACAAAAGTGGAAATATTGAGGGCCTTGAAAGACGGCGTCTCTCGGCAACAAATGATGGAAAGGTATGACAACAAGAGAAGCACTTTGGCCACGTACGTAAAAAATGAGGCCGAGATCCTACGGGCTTTCGAGAGCGAGAAGTTCAAGGCGAAAAGAAAGAGGTTGCGGAAGGCCCGAAACTAGAAGAGGCATTTGCTGCAGTGGGCCGTCAGTGCAGACATTCGCTCCTCAGCACGATCGACATTTTGCTGTAGGGTGATTTCAGATAAGATCGACCAAAGGATGGCTAGTCGACATTTTCAAATCAACTGATGTTTTTATATGTTATTGTCTAGTGTCTGGTATGAACGAATCCAAACTTAGTTTTGACTAGAAAAAATACTTGGGAACAGGAAAAATCGTAAGGCATGAGGTGGTGGACAGTTGCATTAACGGGCACTGATGGAGGGGGCCCGTTTGAGAGTGAATAACTAAAGCGATAACATTAGGAGAACTCTAATACGTTTTAGGCGCAAACTATAGGTATAGCTTGCTTGTAATATAAAGTAATCATATTTATTTAAAATTTATTTATTTTTCTAAAAATTGACAAACATGCCTGCTCGAACGACAAATGGCAAACTTTGGAGGTCTGTATCTCATGAAATAATTTAATCATTATGATATAATTTGCAGATATTATTCTACTAATATATAGCTAATATTTAAAAAATAACTAAGGTATCTGTGTGATACAATAGTTAGGATATATTTAGTCAAACATGGAAAAAAAATCAAACAAAGAAAAATTCCGATGCAAATAAAAAAAAAACACCACCCTCGATTTTTTTTTAAATTTAGGTAACCTGTTATACTCTATTTCGGCATTCATTTCCATTAAAAACATGTTGCATCATTTTTTTGAGAAAGAAGATACAACTCCCCAAAGTAGGGTCCTTTTTCAAAGCCTACACTTAGCAGTGTTTTATACAAGAACTGACTCTGAGTTCCAGTTTCATGAAACCAACACACATCTTTTATATATTTTTATTCAGATTAGGCCAATGATAACTAAAGAAATCGTTCACACACTTAAATTAAGGAGAAACTACTGTGTACAAAGAGGTATCATATTACGGACTAGTGATCCGAGAAAAGATCATGCAGCCATCGGCCACTAGGAACTTTGTTTACTTTATTCTCCTGCGACACTATATGCTATTCCCTCTTCCGCTCTACCTTCATCTCTCTCTCTCTCTCTCTCTCTCATATATATCCCTGATATATATCCAGAACAAAAACATGTTCAAGCATTCCCTTTCTGCGTGGTAGTGTTCTGTGGCTAGCAAAAATCATTTCCTCGCTAAGCTCACGATTATGGCAAAATAGTTGCCGGAAACCGCAGACGACACTCGTCGCTAGTTCTGGCAAAACGGCCGATACAATCTTTTTTTCGCATTTCCCCGCTCGCTGTCAAGGACAAGGGGGTTCGCTTCAACTAGCAAAACATGGCCGCCGACGCCTGTTTACTGAGCAGTCATGCCGGTCGCCATCTCACTCGCTGGCGTCACGGGCGCTAATATCAGGCACAAAGGGGCACACCAACCGGCAGCATTATCCCCAAATACTCGAGCCTCGCGTAAATACATAGAGTGTAAACGCTGTCGCCATGTTATCGTAGTAAGACCGCCCCCCCCCCCCCCCCCCCCCCCAACGGGGGACTGCAGTACGCGACGGCGTACTAACACAACGGCGACGATATCGACATCGCGGGCTCCGAATTTTCCCATAGTTCTACTCCACGGGCATTTCTCGAAACGCTTGATATTGTGTATGCCCGCCTGGAAGGATTTCAGGCGCGTAGTTAAGATAAGGCG